TTTCCTTTCCTTTCCTTTCCTTTCCTTTCCTTTCCTTTCCTTTCCTTCCTTCCTCTTTCTTTCTATTGCTATCATCCATCCATCTATCCATCTATCTAATATCTTATCTTTCCAAAATACCACTGGGAAAGATGAGGTCCATGTGTGAAGATCCAATTGAACTGATTATTGCTACTGATGCCTACGCATAGAAATATTATCAGCCAACAGTTGGCATCTGCTTGGACTTAGATATGGACCTGCAGAATTCAAGGGAGGTTTGGCTTAGTCTGCTTATGGCTACGTAGGGATTCTAGGTTGGTCCCTCATTTAACCACCTCCAGGTGCTTCCACTCTTTCTCCTACATCTTGGCATGTTACCCGGAGGTCTGGATTTAGGTTGGTTGTGATAGTTGGTGCACCAGCAGCCAGCAAAGAGCACAAAGATATCCAGCAACATAATCTTGTTCTGGGCTCCTCATGTAGAAAGCTGCAGCAGCAGCACCACAGGAAGACCACTGCTGTCAGGACTTTGTAACATCACACAAGTCAGTCACCCGTAAACAAAGACAAAGCATTTTGGTCACCGACGCCTGTTGGGGATTTGTTCAAAGACCGCCCAGGGTCCTTGTCTAATGAAATGGGGAAAGTGCTCTTTGGAAGGGAGGAACTTCTTTCCAATTACTTCATCCCTTTTCCTACCTTGCAGAATAAACCATGGCCTATGGCATGAGTATCTGGAGGTCCACCCAACTCTAATTTCTTTCTGTTGGTTTGATATGCCTGGGAAGAACAGGATCCTCCTCTCAATTAAAGGCTGTTACCTTGAGGGACCAAGGAAGTGGACCTCCTTTGTTGCAGCCTCCTTCCTCTGGAATAGCATCTCCCTGGAGATACAGAGGGTGTCCATTCTCTGGGACTTCCAGAAGGTCCTTAGGACCTGCCTTGGTTCCCACACATGTGTTTTGGAAGGGTTAAGGGCTCCTGGCCCTCTTTTTATTATTATTGTTCCCATTTTGAGTCCAAGCTGTCTCTTTTTGTTACTGTTTTTTTTTTTTTTTAGCTGCTTTGGATTCTGTAAGATGCTGGAGTCGGTGGCCATAACAAATGTAAGGAAATAGATAAGCAAAGGAATACACTGCACGGGTGGCATTATCGAAGCTCCTTAATTAATTTCTGGAGATAGGTCGTCTTTTGCAGAAGTAGCCATTTGACAGCGCTGACGATTTATCGTTTTTATATCTCCCTTTCGTCCGTAGTACTTTGTCCTCCAAGTTTTAGCAAATCAGCCCTGTAAGCAGTGAGTATATGGCACTTCAGCCTGCAAGACTGGAGTGAATATTGTAAAGTAATCCGGACCCATTTTAAACATGTGCAACACATGTGAAAAAGGTGTGAGACTTGGATCCTTCTGAGAGATCTGATGTGGACAACTAGGTGACAATCTAGTGATTGTCCTAATTTGTGTACTGTGTCAACTAAAAAGATACTCCTTTGGTCTTTTCAACTGCCAGCAGAAAAGGAGTGGGGGAAAACAGTGCATTCCTCAAGTGCCTAGATAATCACTTTGGAAGCCCAAAGTTGTCGGTGTGCAAGAATATTATTGGGGAGCATGATTGATGACTCTTGGCTAGGGATGTGTCCCATTGGAGAATATACATCTGGGGGTGGGGGGGGGGAAGACCAGGGTCAAGGGGGAAATGAATGATGTATTTTAGTATCAGCTGCATCCAGCTAACGCCAACATGGCCACTTCTAATAAATCAATTTTCTTTTCTCTGAGAAATGTGGCTAGAGACTTATGAGTTGAATGGGGGTGGATTTGTTGGAACCCTGACATACTGCAGATAAAGCAGCCCAAGTACAGGCAAACAGGTATCAGTGGTTACAACAGTGGTACCTCTATAGTCGTTAATTGGTTCCGGGAGGCCCAATGAGTACCAAAAATGATGAGTACCAAACAATTTCCCCCCATAAGGAATAATGTAATGAGTCACAAGGCAGCCGACAACGATAAGTCCTAGCTTGTGCATTGAGTACTAAACAAACAATGAGTATCAGGACAAAGTTTTCACGTCAAAATGTGTTGAGTACCAAATTTGATGAGTTTCAAAGCAATTGAGAACTGAGGTATCACTGTACTACATATTATCTCCAACAATATGGATAGGCAAGATAATATTAGTTCCTGGGAAGCACAAACGAAAGCTTGCTGGAGTTGTATTTTACGCAGAGTTGAGATTTCATGCAATTGTTGGTAAATTCATCCACCCAGTTGCATTGTTATATACAGTGGCTTGGCAGGGACCTTAAAATCCAGTCCTGCAACACATTTTGTGAAGTCTAAGGAGACAGAGAGTCTGCACAAAACACATTCCTGTTGTGTTTCCTACAGTTGAGCCAAGGACCACATGGTATGGTGCACTAACAGCTGCACACTGGAAGAATGTAAGAAGTGTGGCCTGCATACTTTTTTTTTTTTCAGAAGAGACTAACAGCGTAGTCCTTTTTTCTTTTTTGCATTTGCATTTGGGAAGACTTGGGGCCAAGGACTGTTCTGCATTAAAGCCACCATCAAGTCCTTTAGAAACCAAATAAGAAAAAAAAACCTCCCATTAGCATCCTGGCCCCATTGATTTTCACCCAATCCGTGAGCAGAAAGTTGCGTCGCAGAACTTGGGTGATCTCTTTTCAAGGGTGTGTGGATTTTCATTTAGGAAAAGAATTTTCCAGTTGGCACCAGAAACAAAACGTTGAGTGATTCTTCATCTCCAGAGTCTTCATCCATCCAAGCGTTGGGGGCCTTCAGACCAGCTTCTGGCTCTTTTGTCTACTTAAACCCGTCTCAAAAGTCTTTGCCATTCAAGGTTATGAACTGCCAAGGCAGCTTGGCCTCACAGCTGCAGAACAGAGTTCAGCTGTTCTCATCACCCCAGACGATGGAGATGTCCATTTGGCCTTGCCCCTCCTTGGGGTGCTTTCATTGTGACCCCTCACTGTAGGGAAGCTGTCAACCAACCGGCAATGCCATTCAGGGCACTGCCTTGAGAAAGCTGTGGATAATAAGAAGGTCGCCACAAAATGAACTGTGTCATGGCGTGTTTTCTGATCCATCATAAAGACTTCCAGCTACATCATGTCCCTCTAGGGAGTGGAGAAGAACCATCCTTCTCAATTGTTCTTTGACTGAATGATTGATTTACTGTGTCAGTTCATATTCCATCCTTTTTCTTCCAGAGCTCAAGAGGGTTAGTATAAGAATCTCTCTGCATTTTATCCCAAAGACAGGCAACCTCTGAGGTTTGGTGTGCTCAAGGAATGATGGACCCAAAGTCCCACACTGGGGTTTCCATGGTGGAGGGTTCCAAGGCTTAACACTGGGTGCTCCCACTCCTCCCCCTGACCCACTCTTTAACCCTTGAGGCCGTATCTTTGATATCAGCCAAGGGTTGAGCCTCCAGCTAGTTCAGAAGCATTCTGATAGGGATGCAAACACCGAATGGTTTCACAGATGGCCAAAGCATTTTTTTGGATCAACTCTCAGCCAGGATGAGTAAATAAGAAGAGTGTATAGCAGAGATCCCCAAACTTGTAAGACTTGTGGATTTCAACTCCCAGAATTCTCCAGCCAGCTGGCTGGAGTATTCTGGGAGTTAAAGTCCCCAAGTCTTAAAGTTGCCAAGTTTGGGAACCTTTGGTATATAGTCAACCTGAGGAGACCTGGGTTCAAATTCCTTTTCGATTACTGAGATGATAAAGCAAATCTCCATCAATCATCTTTTCCCCCCCTGCTTAACCAACTTTTTACATTCCATGCGGAGAACATACTTCCCCTGGTTATTAGTTTAACCCATGTTCTGGCTTCAAACAATGCATTAAAGCATTAGTCAAAAAGTCTGGCTTCCCTTAATATGCTAAACCGCAAAAAGTTAAAACTATGTTTTCTGAAGTATAAAGTCTTTATCTCTCTGGGGTAAGTGGGCTTCTGAACACAGCCCTTGGCTTGTTGTTGTGAGAATGAAACAAGGGGTACTCTCCTGGATGTTGTGTTGAGGGTCTCGTGGGAATATTGAGATGAAACAGTAACAAGCAAACCTGCTTTTGCCATCAACTGTGTTTTGCAAACCATAGTGATTTTCACAAGCTCAGTTGAAGCAAATCTTAGGTTTTCATTAGTTTCTGAAGGGAGGATTTAATCTAGGGCGTAAGGAAAACATTCTAAACTCATTTGGACTGCAGAGCTCTGTTAGAAATTAAACATGTCGTTTTTCTCAAATATTTATGCAATGCAGAGTTCCTGAGGGATGACAGCTTAAAAGTGGATTGTTGTGGAGCGCCCTCTGCTGGAAGAAATATCTCCAAAGGTGAGGATGCAAAATTGAAAGATGCTATCAAGTTCACAAATGATCTTGTGCATAAACAGAATATTTGTAGCTCAGGGTTGAACTGTGGGGGGTCCTTGGTGCTCTCTGAGCTTGCTGTTTTCTTGCATAAGTTTCATGACCCAACTAGGGAACATCATTGGGGCTAGAAGAGAGTGGAGTTTGTGGAGAAGAGGAGAAGAGGAGAAGAAGAAAAGAGGAGGAACGGAGGGGAAAGGGGAGGAGAAAAAGGACGGTGGGGTCTTTGGTGTTCTCTGAGCTCAGTTGTTTCCTTACAGACATTTCATGACCCAACTAAGTAACAGCATCAGAGCTAGAA